TGCCCTTGCACCCACCCAGCTGGATGTAAAGCAGAGCTTGACCTACTGTAGCAGGGCAGAAAGCCTCACAGCACCAACAGCAAAGCTTCTCTGCACCCTCTCCACCCTGGCACAGGGTGCCCAGAGCAGCTGTGGCTGCTCCTGGATCCCTGGAAGTGTCCAAGGCCAGACTGGACGGGGCTGGGAGCACCCTGGGACAGACAGTGGAAGGTGTCCCTGCCATGGCAGGGGTGGGATGGGTTTTAAGGTCCCATCCCAGAATTCTCTGATACATGCCCTGAACAGGGCCAGTTCTCTGGTTATTGCCCAGACACAGGGATGGTGGCCAGGACAAATGCACTGTGCCATTACAGACACAGGCTCCCAGCAGCCCCAGCCCCTGGAGCCCTCCTCTGCAGCACTGAATGGCCAAAGACAGATTCTGCTCTCCTTCACTGCCAGCATCAAACACAGCCCAGAAAACCTTCCCCAACCCAAATGTCAGGCAGCTGTCTCATTTTCACCTTTGTTAAATAATGCAATTGTCCCGGAAAGGGTTCTCCAGCCATCCCCAGAGCCAGCCCAGCACACAAGCTGTCCTCCAAAGGGAAGGGAAGCACAGTGGGTATGCCAGGGCAGCAGGCAGCAGCAGTAAATAACCCTGAGCCTGCTTTGTTCCTTCATAAAATAAATGATTAATAGCTCAGGATAGTCAGGCTGCTTGAAAAGCTCAGGATTGCTGAAAACTTTTGATCAGTTTGATTCATTAACCTTTAAAACTGCCTCTAAGAGAGGCTTAAAATCTGAGGGAGAGGCATCATTTTAAACACTTCAATTTTATCCAGTGTTCCTCTTTTTTTGACAAACTGAGATAGAGACACTCAGCATCAGTCAGGTGTCAAGGAAAAAATAACAAGGGGGGAAATAAAGTTACTGTAGACAAACAACCCCATGCTCATCTTAAAATTCAAAACCAGTCAGGGCTGGGGGAGAAAATGACCCTTCTTTGTGATCCTTGAGTACTTGGCCATATGCAGGTGGCTTCCCAACTGTCTCTTTTTATTTCTTTTGCTTTTAATGCTAATAAAAAGGGAACCCAAACAGGGCACTCCATTCCCCACACAATGGCCTGGGGGAGGGCAGGGAGTGTCACTTACATATCCCAAAAGTCTGACTCAGACAAATTACTTCTAGTTCAGTTCCCCACTACACGCCTGCATTGTTCCAACACCTTGGCAGCAGAAGGGGCTCATCCCCAGCTATCTGCTCCCAGAACGGCCTTGGGGGCTGATGTCATTAAGGAGCTGTCCCAATTACTTCCCTGGGGAAAGCAGTGACTTGCAGCTTACCGTCCTGCCCCAGCCCAGCAGGAAAAGCAACGGCCAGCAGAGCCCCAGGGCTGAGCTGCAGGGAGGAGCTGGGATCCAGGGAGGGCAGCTGCCCCCTGCAGATGGCTGCAGGCTCAGCCTTCCTCGGAAAGGGAGAGATTCCCAAGAGAAAAAGGGTGCTTTGAGCCAAGGAGAAGTCATGGCACTGCTGCCAGACTGACTGCAGACACTGGCTTTTGGCTGGGGTTTGTTTTCTGGAGAGGACAGAGAGCAGTGTGAAAAGGTCAGGAAGGCCACTGGTCCTTCCTTCTCTGCTTCACCAGCAGCCACAGTGGTACAATGCCCAGCAGAGAAGGTTATTCCACCTCTAAGGGAACCACAAGCTGCAAATTTAACAGATCAAAGCCTTCTCAGAGACACCCAGCCCACACAACCAGCCCACAGCTTCTTTTGCTGCAATAATTACACATGGTCAAGGATTTGTGAGTTTAATAGTTTTAGGGAGCAATTCCCAAGCCAGAGCTGTCAGCTTTCTGAAATCCCATCAAAGCTTGCAGGAATTCAGCAATTTTAGCAGAATACCAATGCTCTTAGTTGGAACAATACTGAGGCATCTGACAGAAAAATTGTGATGCTTAAAATACCCAGCAATGGTGGAAAGAAAGATATTTATAAAGGAATGAGACCTCACCTGTAGCTTCAGCAATTTTTCTGTACTGCATCTTTATAGTTCTCTATACAGAGAAAAATATTTAACCAAAAGAAACAAACCAAATTCCTGATTTTACAGCTTTCATGGGGTCTGATGGTTTCCAATTCAATTATTCAGTGCAGATTGTAACAGCAGTTAATTAGAAGTTAGCAGCTGAAGGGATCATAGAGAGTTATTATGACAAAGACATGATTTTTGGGCACCATGTACATCATGGATTTGCATGGACAAAGCGAAGTGGAAAAATAAAGAGCAAGGAGGACTCTGAATATGTGCAACAGTAATAAAGGAGTTTAGGAGGACAAGGAAAAATGACTTAAGATGAAATTGAGATTTTTTTTTTCTACTCAGAAGCTCCCTGAAGTTAAATGTACCATTTCAGCTGTACCATGGAGAAATTGCCAGAGCCTGGAGGGTAAAGAGTTCCAAAGATGATGAAAATAACATCAGCAGGATTATGAAATGCCATGGGCAGGTCAGGGAAAGCAGGTGGATACAGGGAAAGTGAACCAAACAGTCCCAACTGAGCCAAAAGGGAGCAGGGAATTGAATGATTCTCTTGGAAATATCACCACATCAAACCAGTGTGGCAGGAATTATTTCAATGCACATCATTGAGGGAACTGTGTAGTGTTACATGGCAGGTGAGTGCTTTGCACTATGAGGAGCTTGAATTTATTAATTGATTAATTAAACCAGTTTTTGTGCTTTCTCAGCTATCTAGTTCAATCTTCTGCCATAGCCCAGGGCGTGCTGCCCTGTCCTGGGGCTCTGCAGAGTGTTTTTGAGAGGAAGAAAGTTAATAAATTAATGCATTAAATTAAGCCTGCACAAACTACAGGTACAAAATCAGATTCAAATCTGGCTACAGCCAACACTTTCCACTGCTGTGGAGGGCAGATCCTGGACCTCAGAGAAACCCTTGTCATGCTCCACCAAAAGAAAAGTGCTTGGGAAATGTTGCTCCCTGAGACACACAAAATCCCCAGCATGAGATCTGAGGCCTGGTCATAGAGGAGCCCAAGTTGTGTAACTGTTTTTGGTATTTAGTTCAAGCAGCTTTTAAAAGCTTTACAAATAAGTTTAAAGTAATTGCAGGGTATTCATTAGTGCACTTTGCAGAGGCACAGATTCAGCCCAAGTGCAGGAAAGAAACCAAGCAGAAATAGTCTTTCCAGGCTGGTACAAGACAATCCTAACAGTTCTGCTCTCACACATTTTATTGTCTCCCTGAGGGAAAACTGCAGAGGAACTCTCTCAAGGAGCACATAACTGTCCTTATATTAGTTTAAACAGGATTCCCAGCCATCCACAGCAATGAAGAACTGATGGCCCTGCTCTCAGAGCTCAGCAGGTCCCCCGCTCCCTTCACCCTCCATCACACCACAGTGAGCACAGCACCACAAAAAATAATTTGTAAACATTCAGATGAGCCCTAGAACGTGTTTTCATACTCTGCACTTAGTGTCAGGCTGTCACTTTATAAATATATTTAGTTTTTAAAGAACAAACCCCAATGCCACACTTGTAGGGGAAATAAGGCCTCTTAAAAACAGACTGCAACAAGTTTCTGTGGGGCATGTGCTTGCTCCAAAAGGAGCCAAAGACTGCCCAGAACATTCTGGCCTGGAGACAAGAGCCAACTCTGCTTGATAGATGATAATTTTTAAAAAATCACAGGTCAAGAGCAACAGAATAACCTTTTCCCCAGCTGCTGGGAGTCCCCATCCCATTCCAAGGTGTTTTGGAGGGAAGCACCTACTTGCTGTCAGTCCTTTTGTTGTAAATGAGGAAGTCAGACACGTCGTGCCACACCTCACTGTCCTCGTACAGGTAGGTCATGGAGGACTGCAGGGAGGGCTGCAGAGTGTCCCTGTGGTATTCAAAGAGCCACAGGACTGTCCCCCAGACCAGGGCAGCCAGCAGAGGGAAGGGATCCTGCCTGGGCTGTGGGATGTAGCCCTTTTCCACAGCCAGGCGGGACAGGCCGAACAGGATCCGGGACAGCAGGTACATGATGATCTGCAGGAGGAGAGAGCCAGGGAGCAGGGTGAGTGCTGAGCACAGCCAGCTCCAGGCCTTCCAAAGGGACAACCCAGCCAGGAGGGACAGCAACAACTCGCCCACTTCAAAGCCAGCAGGCTGTCACTTCCCCTGCCAGCACTCTGCCAAACCACGGTGTTTGTGTCTGCCCCAGGGCCTGCTGCTCTGATGTGGCAATCACCAGCTGCATTTCATGCAGCACTGCTGGGCAGTTGCACAACTTCTGTCTTTGCCCAGCTCGTGCCACCTCAGATGGTGCTGATGAACAGTCCCAGAGCAGTCCTGCCAGGCAGGTGTGAGCTCAGGAGTCTGGACACAGCCTAACCCCAGGCCTGGCTTAAGTCGAGCACTTTGAATTCATCTGCAGCTCTGTTTAACTCCTTGGTTTGTGACTGTGTGTTAACAACCAGCTTTAAATCAAACACCCCCTGAGCAGCTTTCATCAGTTTAGCCAGTTCAGTGGTCAGTTTGGCCAATTCAGTGGTCAGTTTGGCCAGTCCAGTGGTCAGTTTAGGTGTCATTTTAACCAGTTCAGTGGTCAGTTTAGCCAGTTCAGTGGTCAGTTTAGCCAGTTTAGCTCAGTGCAGCTCTAACTGATCAATTTCTACACTCACAACACTTCAGGTGAAGAGTTTAACCCTGTGATGGCCAGACCAGGAACACACAGGTGGGACAACCCCACAGCTTTGGGTTACCTGACTGCCTTCCTACAAGCTCAGGGCAGCTCTGGAGGCAAACCTGGGCTTGCAGCACTCATGGAGACACACAACCACACCTGGGACTCAAGTGCAGAGCAGTCCAAACTGCAATTTGTGCAGAGAACACGACAAAAGAGCAATGCTCTGTGGTCAGAGCCACCACAATCAGGTGCCCCCAACCACTTCCTGGCACACCTGCTGTTTATCCTGGCCAGAGAAACCTCCAGCAAGTGCCCTTACCTGGCTGTTGATGGGGTTGTTGTCACCAAACACCAGCCAGCCCCCAATGCAGGCTGCAAGGAAGGAATGGAATGGGATTTTCTTGCCCTGCAGCCGGGCCTGTGCTGCCAGGAGCCCCTTGTAGGTGAACACAAAGTAAGCCAGGTTCCGGGAGTGGGCGTACGTGGCCTGGGCAATGGACTTCAGCTTCTCCCTTAAACTGAGGCAAACAAACAATTAAAAGCTGCAGTTTGTGCAGAGAACATGATAAAGAGCAATGCTCTGTGGTCAGAGCCACCACAATCAGGTGCCCCCAACCACTTCCTGGCACACCTGCTGTTTATCCTGGCCAGAGAAACCTCCAGCAAGTGCCCTTACCTGGCTGTTGATGGGGTTGTTGTCACCAAACACCAGCCAGCCCCCAATGCAGGCTGCAAGGAAGGAATGGAATGGGATTTTCTTGCCCTGCAGCCGGGCCTGTGCTGCCAGGAGCCCCTTGTAGGTGAACACAAAGTAAGCCAGGTTCCGGGAGTGGGCGTACGTGGCCTGGGCAATGGACTTCAGCTTCTCCCTTAAACTGAGGCAAACAAACAATTACAGGAGGGAAAAGGCAACATCCTGCACTCACTCAGCTGGGCACTGCACTCCCCACCTACACTGATGGTTTGGGCCCCCCAGCAATATCTCAGGGAGGAGCTCTGGCTTCCCTCAGCAGGGCACAGCCCTACCCAGACTGTGGGCTGTGTTTCATGTGCTCACTACTCAAACAGCCCTTTAAAAACTTTTTTATTGCTAAACGCAAACCTCTGGCACTCAGGGAAAGGCACAACGTGCACTGCTATAGCCTGGGTTTCCATATTTCAACATTGCTGTTGGCATCTGCTGATTTCCCCTCTGTCCTCATCAACCACTCCATGAGTGATTAAACCTCTCAATTATACATATTTGTGTGTGTTTCACTACGAGGACAAGGCCCAACCGCGGCTCACACATCCTTCTGCTTTTTAAACCCCCTAGAAACATGGAAAAGGGACAGCTGTGATGAAAACAATCTAAGCAGCAACACAAAAACACAGATTTAGTGCTCGTACCTTCCACTCTTGAACAGGAAAGTCATCACCAGGGCGTGCGGGGCACGGATTTTGGCTCCATAGCTGTAAAGGTGACAGATATTTCATAGAGCTCGTTTTATACTATGAAATTATTGTACTTCTAGTCTACTACCAGACAAAAAAGGCTATTTAGCCAAATATCTATGACTTCTAAGCCAGCCCAGCAGCACAGCAAACCGGGAGGAGCCCAGCTGGAGAGAGAAGAGCAAACGCACCTCAGCGAGCAGGCCCGAAGGGGCCCCCAAACCCAGCCCAGCCGCCCGTGAGGGAGCGGAATCGCCCCCGCCGCACCCCGGCCTCCCACGGGCCGGGAGCGACCGAGACCCCGCCGCCCGGGCCCGGCACTCACACGGCGCCGTTGCGGAAGCCCTTGATGACGGCGAGCGCGGCGTGGTAGCGGCGCTGCTGCAGGAGCGCGTTGGCGGCGCGGAGCAGAGCGCGAAGCGAATCCCCGCCGCCCGCCATGGCCCCGCCGGCCATGGCGCCCCGCCGCACGCCGCTTCCGGGGCCGCCGCCCCGCCCGCCGCTCCCATAGGCCCGCACTGCTGTCAATCACGGCTCTCGGCCAATAGGCGGCACCACCTCACCTTCTCATTGGTGCGGAGAGTCTGCCCTGCAGCCAATGGGCGCTGAGCGAGGCATCCCGCCCACCCGCTCCGTGAGGGCGGCGGGCGCCGCTGTGAGCCCGGCCCGGCACAGCCCGGTCATGGGCCGGGCGTCGTGGTCACCGCGGCCGCGCCGGGAGCCCGAACAGGGCGGAGGCGGCCCCCGGGCGTTCCCTGCCCGGTCTGCACGGGCTGTGGCAGTGCCGCTGCCCCAGTGCCTCGCCCCGAGTTGAACACGATCCCCCGCCCCGGCCCCCCCTCCTCTCCCGCGCTGTGGGCCCGTAGCGGGCGGCGGGCGCCCCCTGGCGGCGCCGCTGCCGCCGCCGCTCCAAGATGGCGCAGGCGATCTTCGAGGCGCTGGAAGGTAACGGGGCCAGACCGGGGCCGCGCCGGCACCTCCCGGGCCGCGGCCACAGCCGGGGTGCGCGACCCCCGCTCCTCCGAGCTCCCCCTGTCGGGCAGCCCCCGCCGCAGCCCGCGGCTCCCCACGCCGTCCGCGGCTCCCTGCGGCACGCTGTCACCTCCGGTGCCCCGGCCCCGCGCCACCTCCCGCCGGTGCGCCGCCGCATCCCCGCTCCGCCCGGCAGCGCCCTGTGCGCCGGGCAGCCCTCGCTAACCGCGGGCCCTGTGCTCGGTGCACCGCGTCCCTACCCTGGGCCGGTGCCCGACGGCCCAAGGCAGCCCATGCCTTCCCTGCTCTGCGCCTGCTGCTCTGGGGCGCCTCATCCCTACCGTATCCCTGCCCCTGCTGCTCCTGGACCCTCCATCCCATTCCTGCTGCTCCTGCACGCTCCATCCCCATCCCGCCCCTGCAGCCCCTCCCCGCTCCTGTGCCCCCACGACATTCCCGTCACCCCTGTCGCTGTGCCCAGGAAGCAGCACCACCATGCCCAGGGCACTCTCTCCACTCCTGCACGTCCCGTGTCGCTGCATGCTGGGGTCCCCCATGCCCCCGGGCTGGCAGTGCCATCCCCCTGCTGTGCCGTGCTCCGTGCCAGCCCCAGGGATGGTGCCTGGCTGGGTGCTGGCCCCTGCATGTGCATTTTGAGGGGTGGCTGTGCTCTTTGGCACAGCCCGGGCAGTTGTGTGGGTGAGCAGGTTGTGCTCAAATACATCTCACCTTGGGACGCTGTTCCAGCCAGGTGCCATCCGAGGATGCTGTGCTAAGCCGTGGCAGGCTGACATTGGGCTAGGGGCTGCTTTCTTTGGAGAGAAACTATTTCATGGGCATTGATTTCCTAAATTGGATTACATGAGGAGACACCACTACCTGGAAGGTGTGACATTGGGATTGTTACCTGTGCTTTTGAATATCACCTGTGACGACAGCAGCAGAGAGTGGAGCAGAGAATAAATATTTTTTCTGTATTTTGTCAGGTTACTTGGTGCATTTGCCAGCACCCCGTGTAGACTCAGGTCCCTATTTCCTCCCTGCAGTCAGCTCCTCGTTGTGTTAGTTTCCCTGCAGCATTTAGGACAGCAAAGCTTTTTAGCAAATTGAAAAAGAGTGGGGGTTTTTTAAGCCCGCAGCAATTGGCAGCTTTTAGCGCCTGAGCTTGTTTGTTTTGTCTTGTTGATTGGATTACAAGTCGATGGTGACTTGGCATTCTTGGAGCAGCCTGGTCTCAGGGTGCTGCAGGGCACAGGTGCATCTTCACCTGTCACTAAAGCACCTGGTGCTCCTGTCAGAAAAAAAGGCTTTATCACAGGGGCAAATTAGCACCTGGGTGACATGGACAGTCTTGCTTCATCTCCAGCTGAGAGAATTCGAAAGGGAAGAAAAAAACGCACAGATCATCAGTAGTCCTGTGCTTTTATCTTGGCTTCCCCAAATCACTTTGGTTTCGTCAGGCTCTGGGCACCTCAGCTCCTGCTGCTGCCAGGAGAGAGGGAGCTGGGATTTTTCAGTTCCATGGCTGAAGAGTGTCCTGCAGGCTGGTGCTGGCTGTGGGCAGGGCAGGATCCATCCAGAGCTTTCTCCTGGAGTCTGTGCATGGCTGTGACTGGCATCATGGAGCTGCCAGCTTGTCTCCATGGGCTGCTAGCCATGTCCTCAGGGGTTTCCCTCTGGGAAGGGTGGTGGTGTGCAGTTCCTCAGTGAAGTGCAGGGGCTCTGAATTGCCAAATAAATATTTCTGTTTTCCTGGGCCATTTCTCTCCATCAAGAGGTTGAGTGCAACACTGGCAGTGTTGCTGCATCGTTGTGTTCAGCTCTCAGCCTCTCCTGGAGCTGCTTGCTCCTCGTGCCATCAAGGCAATTGTTTGGCTTTTTTCCTTGGAAGATCTGACTCAGTGCCAGAAGGAAATCCAGTTGCCCAATGCCAGGCATATCAAGAGTGGCACTGTGTGCAGTCATAATTATCCCCATGCTATACTTCACCTGGATTTTTGATGCTTCTTTTCCTCCTAGCTTATTTTTGCTGGAGAAGCACTGCTGGATGCCACTCTGAGCTTTGGCTGTGCCATCAGCAGCCTGCAGTGCTCCCTTTGCAGTTGACCAGAGGTTCTTTGTGCAGGGGGAGGTGTATTTTAGAGCAGGGCTTTGGCTGCACTGAGGAGATCCTCCCAGCACTGTTCAGCCGTGTTCTCCCGGTGGGGCTGAGCTGCAGGGCTGGCTCCAGCAATCCCTGAAGCCAAGGCTTGCTGAACTGGACCTGCAGCTTTGCTGTGATCTGTGTGAAAGGCTTCCCATAGGCATGGTGGGAATTTGATGGCAGTGTGTGATCTAGTGGGATCTGCTGCCTTCCAGCAGCTGCTTGTGCCTTTGGAGGATGGTGCCCTGCTCTGTCCCAGGCACACAAGCAAGGTTTGCAGCATCTCCTCAGTGAGAGGATGAGAAAGATGTTCACAGAATCTTAATGTGACATTCTTCACACTGGGAATGGAGGAGAAATGAGTATTTAGGATAGCTTTAAAAGGCTGTCATTTAAATGAGTATTCCCCATCAAGAAGGTAACATTCCAGTTGTTCAGGAGAAATTTTAGGAGAGGAACTTGGGGTGGTGGATGCTCCTGCTCTGCTGGTCCCCTATCCTGTGATCTGCTGTGGTGCTTCGCTGTCTTTCCTGCTGCTGTCTGCTGAGCAACCTCCCCTCATCTCAGCACAGTCCTCACCTCACTGCTGAGGAGTGATCAGACTGATTGATTTTCCTGTCCTGTGGCACATAACTCTGAGTTCAGAGCTTTGCAGTTTCATTTTGCAAAGATCTGGAAGTGAAAAAACACCTAAGAACTCCACAGCTTTCTTCTCTTCTTTAATCCACAAGATATAACATACAACTTTGCTGTGCCATTTGCTTCCTTTGTGAGTTCTGTGTCATAAAAGAGTGATAGGAAGGAGTGGTGCATGAAAATCACTCCTTTTTGCTCTTTTTCTCTCCAAATCAGGTTGTCCTTTATGTCTTTACATTCAATTTAAAAATAGAGTGTGTCATGTTTAA